ACCAAAAGGTACCCCAGTATATATTCTAGATATTTTCACGTGTCGGTGGGGGAGGCGGCTCTGGAGGCTTTGTATTGTGTTTTTTTAAAACAAAAATTCGGCAGAAGCACTGACTGTTAAAAACCATTTGTCTCTCATTATCTGCGTGGAAGAAGCTTTCCTTGAAGGAGCGAGGTATGTTACTTGATGGCACGTCTTGCCGTAATTGAAAAGGTGATGCTACAGAGCAGGTCAGCTGCTGGGCACCCGCTTAGTTCACCTTCCGATAAAGGTAGTACCTCTCCACACTTCCTTACCCTTGGAAGTACTCCCATGCAAGCTGCTACACTGTGATTCATCTTCCTGAGTCCAAGAATCTTGCAAGGTGTTCAGTAGTGCTACTCACAGCATTCACCAGGAGCGCTTGGATGTTCTCCACCTTGATCAAGTTTTAGCTAACATCAGCTCAGGTGAACACCATACCTGAAAATATCTAGAATATATACTGGGGTACCTTTTGGTCCTCTTCATGCTGAAGTAATTCTTTAGCTGGAACATACCATTTCCTGAGAAAAAAGAGTGCAAGACCTGAATAAAGTATGTGAAAACCACCCCCTTTATCATAAGAAATAAGGAGTGCTTTTTAAAGGGGGTCTTGGTATATCAGCAATTCTGTGTATTTGAGCTGCTGTTAAGGCTGTTTCAAAATGCTTAAAGCACAGATTATCAACCTGAAGGAGGCCAACATTGTTTTGCTCAGTTGAACAGCTTAGTCCCTGAACTTTGAAAACTCACAGGACATGCAAAGAATGAGGTAGAAAGAGTCAGTTTTAGATGGCCTAAACATGTTCCTTTGTCATGTAACTTTGAAGTAAAAAGGATCTGTTCATGAGTTGCAAAGCTGTATAGGTTCTTTGCTCTTGAATTCACTGAAACTGCCATATGGAAATGGGCTTGATCTGTCCTGTGTGAAATAAAATTAAAGTAGACATTAGGTGCACTGCACTGCTGTGGTACTGTAAGTGAAGCACAGGAAGTTTCTGAGGGGCTTTAAAATTTTTTTTTAATATAACCTTTTTTAAAGACACACTCCTAAGCCCCACAGGTCTTTGAATTTAACCTGGTTTGAGGTTATATGAAAATAACCATAGCTACCTCTCAGTGCTTTCTAGTTATTCCAGTAGTTTGAATCCTCTCCCCTGCTTGAAGGCTAGTCTGTTTTAAAATGGAGCTGGGAAACATACTGTTTCTTGCAGTAATTGTCCCATAAAGCCTTTATAGACTGAGTTGTAGAACTAAAATTGGGATGGTTATGCCAAAAATACTTCATTAAATGTGTTTTTTCTGGTGTTATTTAGTCTTTTTGTTCCTGGAGAGTTGACATCTCTCTAGGCAGTTCTAGTATCTGGTGTTCAGGGTAGAACTCTGCTAGTAGGTAACTATAAATGATGTTTGGCCAAATTGCACTTAAACTCAGTATGTTTTGGACTGGTGCCATGTTAATGGAGGCCATGTGTTACAGGGGAATATTAAAAATCACATTTTGAACTGCAGACTCTGCAATTGCTGATGCAGGGGGGTGGCTTTACTGGGATGCTCCCTGCCCACGTGCTTCCAGTGAAGTATTCATCACCTCAAGCTCCACGAGGTGCCTTGTGCAAGAGTGGACCTCCAACATTCAAAACACATTCTTCCACTTTCTTCCTAACAAGCTGCAACTGCGCTGTCACCGCCAACTGTGAAGACCTTTAGGTTTCTCCCCATTCCAGTGTTCTAAGTGCTTTTTTTCATATGTGAGCAGCAGATTTCTGTTTAGAAAGTCTCAGTGGCTTATCAAGTCAAGGAAGAACATTATGGGAAAATGTATGCACAGTTCCTTTTCAAACGATGTCTTTTAACCATCTCTACTAATTAAAATGTGCTTTTTCAGGCAAAGTTGAAGAATTTCTAAATAAGCTTGAGTTTCCATAAATCTGCAAAATAAATCAAATGACAAGGAATCTGATACTTAGCCTGTCCTGCCCATGACAACAGAGTGATCTTCTGTTTAAGTCCCTGATCCACAAGTGAATCCCACATGGATATTAAGTGCAGTTGTTATTCTCTCTGGGTACTAATCTAATGTAGGGTAGGGATGTTAGTTTTGGTTTAAGTTCTTAGAGTTTTTTTCAAATAATCTCAAACATTAACAGGTGTCTGAATTTGCCACTGGCATTTCTTGAGGCAGAACTTTCTGACAAAATGTTCCACTCATATTGCTGATAAGGCATGGGCAGTAAAGAAATGCACATTGAAACAAATCTGGAGAAACCTTTACTGCCCCTTGCTTTCTCTTGACCTTGGAAATAACTGTATTTGTGAGAATTCTGTTGTGCCTTTGAGTTATTCCAAGGAAATTTGCAATAGCAAACTGAAATATAGGGTGAAAAAAAATTTAGTTGAAAGATTTATTCAGGGGAAGAAAATAAAGTATGTTTTTAAGTTTGCTTTTGCTTTGCATCAGGGGTGTGTGGGGTAGCTAGTAAAACTGTTTAAAGAGGTCATAAAGTACCAGAAAACACATGAGTTGTACTTGCATTTCCATTCTGTGGCCTTTGTCTTTGCATGTCAGACAGCAGTTTCACTTAATTTCTTAATTATTAAAATATAATACTAAATTAATAAAAATAAATTCAATTAATTCTTAATTAATTGCCATTAGTTTATCAGCATCTGGTTTTTTTTAATATTTTATAAATACTTTTATTTCCCAGGAAAGATAAAGCCTACTTTTTTGCCTACTTGCAAAAAGCCCTAATTGTAATCTCTTTTCTCAAGAGTCTGCTTTTGATGTAAAAGTTAGCTTTACAGCAATTTTGTTATTTCTTAGCCTAAACTAAAACACTATTCTTTGCAGAAGATGCTATCTCTGTTAAATACAGAGCAACAGAAAATCCTGCTTCAAAGAGACGAAGTATTTGTCCTTCACTATCAAACTTCTAGTTGTGGTGAAAACTGCCACATCCTGATTGTCATATTCCTGGACCTGAGTAGAAATTACTTGTGTTCACTGTGTCATGTCTGTTGTAAAGCAGATCAGCTACACTACATGGAACTTGAACAAAGTTGGTTTCTCACATTTTATTTGTCTCCTTGAGCTTCTTCAGGGTGCTTGTCAGTGCAAATAGATCTGTTGTATGGAGGAAGCATTAACATGAGTGTAATTTTTAAATCGGAGAGAATGCTTTTTACATCATGTTTATGATGTAACAAATGTAAGGAGACTTACCAAGGTCCAATTTAAAAATTATTCAGTGGCATTAGTGATTTTTTTTCACATCCTTGAGCAAGTTTTTTATTTTTGCTTTTTTTTGTGTGTGTGCAATTAGTGATTAATCCAATGAGAATGAATATGATGACTTCTGCCCTCTTTTTTTTTAGTTTCACGTGTTTAAGAACCAGTTTTATTCCTTCTCCCCTTCATAGTGATCTGCATTCTCAAGTTTATGGTTAAGGGAGACAAAGTGAAATCCCTCCTTGAGGTGGCTGATGGCACTTGCAGAGCAAGAGAGTGAAGACTTATGAATTACCTGATCGTATGAGGACCCCCTGGTGCAGACAGCAGGACTTGGGCAGAGCCCTTTCCTTTGAATCCCTGTCACTTCCCTCTGTGGAATGGGGTAGTACTTTCTTAAGATGCATTATGAATGCTTCAGATTTGCAAGACTCTTGATTACCTTTTGAGAAAAAAATAAACTGATCAATCAAGTGTTTCCATTTTGTGGATGAAGTATTCTAAACATGTTAATCTTCTGCCTCTGGGGCAGGAAACTTGTGCAAAACTTAAATGTGTTTTTTTTCCACATGCATATGATTGGGATGGTAGCAAAATGGCCTCCACCAGGTGTTTCCAAGTGACTCATAGCAAGTTTGTTACCCTGTACGCGGTGGTACAAGATGAGTTTCTAGGTACACTTCAGTGTTCATTTTGTGTCTTAGCGGTGTTTGTGATGGCTGTCTGGGTCTCAAACTTCTCTTAAGGTTTTTCTTCCCTCTGCTTTAACACTGAGATTAGCCAGTCAGACTGATTAATTTCATGATTTCTCTCTTGGTTTTCCAGGATGGCCCCCAGAGGAAAAAACGGAAGTCTGAAGTTGGAGAAGTGGACAAGCAGTTAGATATCTTGGCTATTGGTACAGCAGTTGGTAGCATTTTGTTGTACAGCACAGTAAAAGGAGAATTACAGAGCAAGCTAGTAAGTAATGCACTCTTTATCACATACTACCAAATACTGACTGTTTCAGTCAGTTTAGGCTGAAAAATCTTGGTTTCTAAGTTAGTGCAAAATTCCAATACCGTCCATGGATTTTCTACTTTACATTAAAAATAACAGTAATGATGAAAATCCTCACTGGACAGTTAAATCCTTGATGGGACTGTCATACCCTCAGTTCCTGCATGGCATTGTGGGAGGGAAGGGCAGAGAACTCATCAACGCTTGGACAGTTGTCACACTGATGGACTCTGCTGTAAATTTACCTCCCTTGTGGAAGCTCTTGTGCTCCCTCAGCACATGATTTTTTTTGAATGATACAGTATCTTTAATTTTGCCTTTCCAAGCTCCCAAGCACCTCTGTTTTAGTTGTGGGTTACATAACAAGCAAAATAAATCCATATGAGTGGCTGTGAAATACTTTTGAGATACCTGGGTGTACTTTTGCTTCTAAACTCGAAGTTATTGGTAGGGTGATAAACACATGAATTTAGAGAAAGCAGTAATTTCCAGGAATTATGATGTATGTAAGTGACAGTAACTAACAAATATCAACTCTATTGTATGGTAAAACTATGCTTGAAAAGTGTAGTTGTTTTAAAATACTCTTTTTCCATAGAAGACAGCAGGTTTTATGAACACTTTGTTTTTTTACATAAAGGTTGAATTAAAAGATTATTCCTGTTAAAATAATACATACTTTAAGCTATTTTTACTGAACAGATTATTACAATGTAGTTTGTCTTGCTTAAAGCTCATTTGCAGCAGTACCTTTGGGAGTAATCTGAGCAGGTTGTTGCAATCCAAATAGTGAAATAGGCTCCATTAAATATTTTCATAAATACATTAAGGTTATATTTAGAGTTGCAGAGATTTTGGTTGTTAAGAGAAGTGATACTGCTTAAAGGGTCTTCTAGTCTGATAATAGTGTGCTCCTGAATGGTGATACAAAGGGAAGACTACTCACCTCTGAGTGCCCTTAAGGAAGGAGGCACTTAGGTGACACCTGTGGCTATTCTGCTTTGATCAGATTTCATACAGTTCACCTTGTTGGGCTGTGTGTATAAAAATAGCAGGCAAGACAATTTTTTTTTCCTTAATTTTGAA